AAGGGAAGAGAGCGAAGCCACATGGCTCTGAAGACTCGTTTCTGATGAGCTTCTATAGATTGGGAAGGTTTGTGACCATTATATCTAATGTCAAATATGTGAATCATGGGATCGGCTGAACCAGATGTTATGTAAACTCCATTTGGGGACCAGGCTTGATTTATCAGAGCTGACTGAGACTCGCTGCTTTCTTGCTTCCATCCAAAGCCATGAACTTCTGACCTTTTTGATCTGATGTCAAATAATCGAAGCTGTCTCTCAGGAGTCCTAAAATGATCCATGAGTTTTAGGATGTCAGTATAGCTGAAATGTCAAAGTTGATTCCAAAGACAAATGAAACTTACCCGGTTTGAACCATGAATAGATTAAAGTCACGGGGATTTGGCAGAACACTCAAACATTTACTATCAACTTGCTGCGTGAAATCTTTTCTTCCGACACGAACATCGTACCCCAAGATTCTCTTGTCTTTGCCAACAGACAACACAAGTGACCTCTGCTGCATACCAGATACTCCCATGACGGCTGAAGAATGAAGATTCCTGTGTAATGTCTCTGGCTTCCATTTGTTCTGGCCATTCTCACGCCACAATACGACAGCATGGTCAGTTCCTGCGGTTACAAAACTGGCATTCTCCCGAGGCAGAAAAGCAATGCTATTTATGACACCCGTCACGTGAGGTTTGTCCTCTAAGAAACTTACATGGCTTGCTCTCTGTCAATTACATACATCCATGTTTTGCATAACATCAATCTCTATAAAGGAAAACAACATTCTAAACCAATTTTTATTGGGGTCAAAGATTGTATCTCACCCCATCAGCCTTTACTCTACCGAAGTCCGTAACTGATACTTGAGAGTCTCGACCATCAGCACTATATACCGAAAGCAAGCTGTTTCCGTCTGGGTGCCAAACTATGTCTTCCGGCCATCTCTGCTGTGGGGATATACAATTTGTACTTTTAAGAAGACAAGCTACTGATCTACAAAATCATGATGCCAGAGATAAAATTGTGAAACATATCATTTTTCTATATCTTCATATATACAAGAACAAGTTTTAATAAGTGAAGGACGCACTGACCACATCTATATGGAACATGTTCACGTGATTTTAACCGTGAATGTTCTGTTTTATATGGGAAAGGACCATTATAGCAAAAATCAGAGACATTAAAATTCATCTGTATGGTCTTCTGAAATAGATTGTTTGATTTCTGATAGTCAAACATCTATGTAGCTATAACAATATAAGGACAATTTTAAAACAAAAAGGCTCAAAAGAAAAACGAAGACATACTGTGATGAATGAACTTCCCACAAGTTGACCACTCCATCCAAACCACTGCAATCATTCACAGTCCAAAAAGAAGCAAGCATCAAATTATGTAACAGACTTGGTTTTACCAGGTAAAATATTAAACGGATGATAAAGAATGACTCAGAAGTTGTAATTCCATTATAAATGTGAAGGTAGTCTTCTAGGATAAAAGGAGCTTTCAAACCACTACTCCACTGATTGGACAAGGTTCCCTATAAAAACTTTTAAGAGATAAAAATAAGTAGAAAAAAATAAATTGACTTCTTTATTAATTAAAATCAGTTTAAGTTACAAAAAATTTGGAAAAACTAGAGAACTTCTGCAAGTCAATTTCATTTCTTTCTCTCCTATAGAAAAACTCATCCAAACATATCCAAAATGCACTTTTTCACCAAAAGCTGGGAGAAGACAAAGAGGTACATGACCAGTTAAAAGAGCGACTTATTCATAGACAGTTACTTTAAACAATAATTTAGTTGAATTTAACCATGATTGCATCATAGATGCAGAAGACGTGTATACTTCTTTTTTTTTTCCTTTTCTGTGGGTTTGCAAACTATAATCCTAACACATCTCGTAGTATTATCATTAAATAAAAAACCATAATCAAATCAAAAACATGTGCAAAATGCTTTCATGAAAAATGGTATTCTAAACCTGGTGACAAAGTGGTGATCATTTACAGGACACACAGCAATACATCGCAATCTCCTCTTGTGTTGACTAAGGAAGTGATTGCTTGCTTGATAAAGCACTGGTTCTGGTGAAGAACTTTTACATATCAAGGGAATCACTTCCTCAGTGGTCTCTTTCTGTTCTGAAAAGAAAACGAATCCCATGCCAGAGTCAGCCTAGTTATCGATATAAGTGACCAAATTTACACAAAAACAACAATTAAGTTACCAAAAAACTTCCTTTTGCTCCCTCTGCCTTGGACTTCAATGTTTTCCTGCTCAGGAGAGATTCTCCGATTCTTATCAGACTTTACTTTTGACCAAACAAAAGAAGGAGAAGGTGGCAATGGTACGGAATGCGAAAATTTTGAACCCACGCGAACAAGGCGTAACTTAGACTGAAGGTGGTTTTTGGAAGAACCGTCACTTTTATGAAAAGAACCGTCACTTTTATGAAAAGAACCGGTTTTTGATTCACGTTCTATCTTCACTTGCTGAGTGTCAACATGTGATGAACTTGCACCAGTTAGACCTCGTAAACGAGCCAGTTTTGATTTAGATTCCAACAAACTCTTTTCTGCTTCCTCAAGCTGCAAATATTATCCAAACATACAATCATCTCATGGTTTTCCACACAAAGATTCAACCTTTTTGGGATTTTCTTTGAATAAACAAGGTCCCAAACAAGTTCAGATCACTTTCCTCCATCAAACAACTCACACAACACTTCTTTCACGTAAAACTTCTCTGTGTCTGTCTCTTTTCAAGAAAGAAAAAAAAAAACTTTCTTTAACAAACTCTTGAAATTAGACTTAACAACATCATGCAATATGAGGGTACCAACAAACCTGGGAGTTGTAATAAGAGATATAATAACGGAGGTGTTTGACTTCACGGGTACGGTGTTCGATGAGAGCCAGCAATGTCTCTTCGTGTTCTTGCCTGCTACTGACGACGCCGTTTTGGTGGTGTTCCGTTGGGCTGGGATGGAGTCCCATTTTGCAATGGCAGTGATAGATAGAAAGTGATGACTGTTGCTCTTCCTTGGCTTCAAAATTTGAAAGAAACGCGGTGTTATTAAACGAAAGTGGTGATTAATTGTGTAATTAAGGTGTGATTACTGATAATTAGGGGAAATAACTGCCAACTACAACACATGTGCAAAATAAAAGGGGTTTTAACTGATCATTAGGGAATGTAATAGGCCACTACGAGACATGTGCAAGATAATGATAAATTTGTTTTTGCTTTTCTGTAATGAAAGAAGTGTATCATATAATTTTTTAAATTTAGTAATATCTAAGTTCTAATGCTGTAGTTAATATATATGTATGAAAGTTTCACGGGTTTTAAATTTGTATTAAAGGATTATAAAAGTGACATAAAGAGGTAAAAATAATAATTGTTTTAGGGTTTTTTTAGTTGTTTTAATCTTAGAAAAAGTGGGAGTGATTTTAAAAAAAATTGGGGTATATATAATAAACTTGAAGGAACTCCTCTTTGGTTGCATACATACTTATATTGACAAAAATACTTGTCTATCCATTATTTGCAAAAATTTTAATTTAAAATTAAAATTAAAATTATATTTTATTAAATTTAATTTAATTAAAAACGTAATTAATTTATATTTTATTAGATTAAATTTAATTAAAAGTAAACTTTAATATATGTTTAATTTAATTTATATTATTTTTTAATTTTATTTAAATTTTATTTTAAAAATTTATAAAAATATTTTTTTAAAATATGTGAATATCTAAAGTGTTTTAAAATATCTCTAGATGTTATTTGTGTCCTGCTTGTTGTCATCTCTAATAATTATTTATGTTTTTTTTTCTTCTGTTTCTTTTAATGTAGTATAAAATCAAAGTGTTTTTTTCTTCTTTTAAATACTAACTAGTTTAGTTAAAAACAAGTTCCTCGATAATAGTTTCTTATATGGTATGTTCTTAAAAATTGGAAGGTTGAAAAGAAAATTATTTAAATTTTTTTTTAATTCGACTTACAAAAATTAAAGGTAGATTAATCTAACTTTATTTTAAATTTTATGAGAAAATGGCTGATTTTAATAGTAAACGTTAATTAGTATGTAAAAATTTGTAAAAGTGAAGTGGTATTATACTTCAATTTGATTGAATAAATTAGGTTTGATTTTAATGTTTTTATTTTGACCTTTGTTGGAATTGTTTGTGATACTTTTATTAAATATGTGAAATTTTAGTTATATGCTTAAAAGGTCGACTTAAAGGAGACGTTAGACTGTGTTTCTATATAAAAAAAAAAAATTGCTTTAGTAAGTTTGATTCTACGTTGGATTGATATTTTTGATAACGTTATGAAAAACGTGAATTGTGGTTACATAACGTTTTCTACATTTAAGCACGAGTAAAAAGAAAATAAATGTATGAATTATTATTTTTTTAAAATTGTACTTTAGAGTTGAATTAGTTTTCTATAAAATATTTTAATATAATGAGTTATGAATTTGATTGAAAGCATCTTGTGTTTTTTTATAGTATTTGATTGTTAGTTGTTTTTATTTAATTTGACTCGTAGCTATATATTTTTTTTGTTTTATTTCAATAGTAAAAATATAATCGTTATAATAATTCGGAATGTCGTAAAAAGTCTGTTCTATAATACTGTTTCTATATATTGTGTATTATTTGGTAACAAAGCTAGAAAAAACTTACACAAAAATAACTGTCTGAAAGAATGTTTGAAAGTGTGGTATCATTTCTCAACGCATCTTTAATTCCTCTTCGTTTATGTCCCAAGCGTTACGAGGAAAGAATTTTTTAAAGTAAGACTCTGTTTGAATTTTTTTATGAATACTTTCAGAAAAAGAAAACTATTTTTTTTCTTTATCTTCAAACAAAGAATAAGTGCCAACAGAGTTAGCACTATTGACGGCTGAGAAACAAAACAGTGGTCGGCGGAATTTGGTATGGCTACAAGAATCTTAAAGATTGCAAATGCAACAAAAATAACAATATCCGAATTCCAGAATAATAAAGATGTTCCTCGACATTAACCTTTTTATAGACAAAAACTGATCCCATAAGAGCACAAACGCCCCACAGTCATAAAATTAAAAGGAAAAAAAAATACATATGAACAACAAAATCTGCATTAAAGCCCCTTGAAGTTGCACCCCAGAATTATGACGGGAGCTAAATGCAAATGGTGACATTGTCCTTTGACAGCTAACAAATTTTGAACTTCTCTATGTTGTGAGAAGATAGAAGGACTCCATGATGGAAAAATTCAGGGAAATAAGGAAAGTTACTACAATAATGAGTTACTTCATTCTGGTTATGTACCTTAGCCTCAGAAACTTGTGTTCAAGGCTCCTCTATAGGCAAAAAAATTGTGAGCCCTTTTCATTCCTGGCTCTCTCTCATAAAAAGAAAATGTCAATATACAGACTTTTGGGTTGGCATGGCATGACATAATGGTGCAATGTTGAAGAGTTAGTGCCCAAGGAAGGCTAAATTGGTTAGTTTTTTGAAGTGTCTATCCCATTACCACACTCTTCTCCACTTGCCAAAGCTGAAGGACTCCCTTGGCTTCGATTCTCCTCGCCGCCGATCCGAGATTTTCCGGCTCGCAGTCTGATGTTGGCACCCATGGGGAAAGGTTCCTGCACTCACAAAAGGATTGATCAGTTTTATCAGCAGAAGAATCAGATATAAAGAGTCCCTCTAAATGAACAAGCTTGATTTACCGGATCACCGGCATTTGGGCCATCAGTATGGAAGAGGATAGGACGGCATCGCTTGTCTTCGTTCATCAGGCTTGAGTTCTGGAAATGAGCAATGAGAGAAGCTTTTCCTTGAATTCGGGCATATGCCAGTGAGGCTACTTTTTCACTGTTAAACTTCTCCCATTTTTTCCCATCAAAAGCCTGCAAAACATTTCTTCTTTAGTTCTATTAAACACAGGGGACTCAAAGTTCTCAGTTCATAGACAAATAGCTCAAACTAACCTGATGGAAAGGGATAATTTGACCAGGATCAATCATGTTTATGAATGCATAGCCAACATTACATTTGTTCTGCAACCATTTAGAATCAAATTAGAAACATGTCACTATTTCTTCTCAAAAGGAAACCAATCAACCAAAAATACTTACCTTGAAATCAATCGGTAAATACAGGAAATCGTAAGTTCCCTTGCATTGCTCATCTATTGCAGCAAGAAGCATTTTTGAAGTATACCTACCAAACCAACATCAAATAAAAACAGAAGCAGGTCAAATCAAGAGACTGATGCAAGAGAGTATGAATTCTTTACTGTCTCTAAATTCTGATTGATCAAGATAAAAAGAACATGGCAAATGAGCAGACATGCATAAATGTGTCCGTGGAAACATTAGCAAGAAAGAACTAAGACTTCAAAAGAAAAGGGCAATTGCCAAATGCTCAGCTGCCAGCCTGGATAAATCATTAAATGTAAAACATCTTTCTATGTCAACATTTGATAAATCTTAAAATAATCTATAAAAATAAAATAATGTCTTTAAGGAAACTAACAGTTTTACCAATACAATATTCAGTTGAAGAAAAAACAACTAAGCAAAAAGAAGTTAGATAAGCTGTGGTGGCAATTAACATACTTGTTAGGAATATTTTTTATCATAAGGGTAGTTCGGCTGTCTTCCCCACGCAATATACGACCTAGATCAAGCTCGTATTGCTTCTTGTCAACATTGTTGGTGCTTGATTCGTTTCTACGGTGATAAAGGTTTCTCATTCGGTCATTGGTAGTATCAAATTTTGACATTGAAGACATGGGATGCCTTGCAGGGAAAACATGAGATAACTGCTTAGGAGAGTTCTGCCCTGCAGTGGATGTCAGTTCAGTGCCACTCCCACCAACGTGAGAAAACACATTGTGAGAAGGAAAATCCAGGGGATGCAATTGCCAGGAACCATGAAAACCTCCACTCCCTAGAGAGCCCAAGCGAAAACCAGAAGCATCAGGGGACCCTCCCAAATAAGAATTTGGCCTTTCCCAGGGTGAGGCTGTAACAACTGGTGCTGATCCAACATGGTGGTCCATCATATGTGGTGTTCTCAGCAAATGTGGGGGTGTTCTAGCAAAGCTTGATATCTGTGGAAGGTTTGGAGAACAAGCATCATTAACAAATGATGGTGATTTCTGCCAAAGCACATTATTCGATGAAGGTTGTTGTTGCAAATCGGAGCTGTTCCACATATGATAAAGTCCATGTGGGCGTATGCCATTTCCTAATGAGCAAAAATAAACCAACAATGTCACATCAGGATTTAAATGTAAAACTGTTAAATTCACATTACGAATTTGCTCTGTTCTGCTTACAGTTGCCCAAATCTAGTTACTCTGAAATTGGCAAAAAGAGCGGAACTTGAGATGATCCGTATTTAATTTGGAATTCTTAATCATGGCTAGTCAGGACACTCAAAATTCATTCAAACCAATAGTTTGGTATGTAGTAATTGATTAATATTTTTGGGGTATTTCCAAAAAAGAAAGAAGATTTTAGGGGTTATTAAAAAAACAAAGGGAATGTGTGATCCTTAGCACCCGATTCGTCATTGTAATGTTTTAAATTGCTAGGATGCTTTTCAAATAAACAATCTTAACCTCTGCAGTGATTTAGCCACTTCCTGTAACAATTTTCTATTGACAGTAATCATTTCAAAAACTGTTGCACAAAAAGGAAAAATTATACATAAATCTCTTAGCACATAAAAATACGAAGCACTAACCTCCCGCATTAAATTCTGCTATGTTCCCAGTTGAGCCCATTCCCTGAATATGCCTGCCATCAGAGGCTTCTGTAGCTCCAGCACCTGTATTGTTAGCCAAGTTGCTAATGGTGCTAGAAAAGTTATAAGGACTACCATTAGCTAAACTATCACGGTACTCGGGTAAGGAATGAGGATGAAATCTTGAACTAGATGCAAATTTCATTGCATCAATATAGCCATTAGACTCAGAAACTCCAGACACCTTTCCAGCAGATGCCCCTCTCACAGTGTTGTGAATACTAGAGTTGTTCACATTAATGAATGAATTATCCATAAATGCATTAATAGGTTGTCGCAGTGCAGATTGAAACCTCTGATTATATCCATTTTCCAAGACCCCAGATCCAATTACTCCAGAAGACCCTGTTGCTGTAAATGATGTCTAGTGAGACCAAGAAGAATTGCTTCCTAAGAAAAAAGAAAGTGTAAGGCATATAAAATCTTACCCTTTGGTCTTAATGGTAAACTGTCCATAATACTCTGACCCAAATCTCGCTCATCTTGGCCCTTATGTGACTGGTGCATCAAACTACAAAAGCAAGGTTACCATGGTTGTTAACTGAAGAAAATAATTTCTTAGCAGAACTACTTTTGCATCCAGGTATCTATAAAAACTTTACATTGCATTAACCGTAAAAGTCAATAGAAAAATGGCAGTAATCAAAGATTATACAAGTAGACATGCATATCCAAATTAAAATCATCTGCACGATATCATTCTGTAGGCAGACACAAATAAAGGAAAAAGTCACATAAGCTACTACAAATTAGAGAAGAAATTAAGTCAACAAAATGAAAAAGAAAACAGCGGGTATAGCCAGCAAGTTTCAAACCTAGGATGACCAGGTTCAAGCTTGATCTGCTTCCCAGCAATGTCAATCTTATTCAAAGCACGAAGAGCAGATTCCGCAGCTCGGACATCATAAAACTCAATAAATTTGTGATGATTCATTTCTGGATATTCATAAATCTGAAATTAAGGACAAAATATGTAAGTAAGCTTGCATTATCTTCGAATAACACAAGCAACTAAAACAGGGGGAAACCAACCATGAACAACTTACTTCTTTAATTTCTCCATAAAATCCAAAAATCTTTTTAAGCTCATCATTTAAAACAGATGAATCAAGTCCAGATAGCATCAGCGTACCATGGCCAATATCCTTCTCTGGAGCATTGACCTAGCATGTCTTCAAGTTAAAATACATCTATAACCAAAATATAAAAGGTAGGCAAAAAAAGCAACTGAAATGGCAAGGCACGTAGTTGTAATACTAACTGCTAACATGATAAGAACAACAATAACAACCAGTTTTATTCTAATGACAGAAAAGGAAATGGAATTATGCAAATAGGATAGTTATTAATATTATACCTTAGGAATTGAATAATGTATATCAAGTTTCCTAGACCTCAATGGCCTATTTTGAAGTGCTTGCATTGCATTTTGTGCTGCCCTTAGATCATGATAAGAAATCATGACAAACCCACGATGCTTACAGGCTGTATAAATGGTTCGGATATCTCCATATTGCTGTTAGAACAAAGATAATAGTTCAATCACCTTTTATGAATAATGGTATGAAATGCTACCAGAAAAATCTAAGATAACATCATGCAGGAAACAAGAAAGTAGACGCACCTCAAAGAGATCCTTTAGCTCAGAGTCTTCAACATTGCTATTAATGTTTCTAACAAAAAGTGTTCTAGAAGGCTGTTCACCAAATGGAAGTTTTCCTTTAAAAGCTCCAAAGAAACCATAATCTCCATCAAGACCATTCATTATTTTTCCTGAACTTAAATGTTCGTCTCCTTCCATCTCCATGCCTCCGCCACTGCTAAACAGATCAAAATCTTCAAAATCATCAATTGTTTTGGCATGAGAACTGCATCCTAACTCGTCAACAACACCAGAAAACAGATCATCTTCATCAGGAAGGAGATTCCCTATAGTGTCAGCCTCCATTTCTTTAAGAGATTTACATGGTTCCTCCGGGAAACCAGCAGTAATAGTCCTATCAGACTGAACATCATTTCCAAATAACCGTACTGCACCAAGATATGCAAATAAGCAGACAAATAGGATATCAATCTAGTTAAAGTAAAATCAGAAAAACATAACATAAAAAAAGTCAATAGACAGATGAAAAGACATGAAAGAAATACTTACACTTTCGGCTAAATATCTCAGACATAGAGCTCGAGAATAAACTACTTTCACAGGGGCCAGCATTGCTCACAATCTTGTTCCCAATTAAGCCATATGAGGTAGATGCCGACTGCAGAGATGCATCAGAGAATGATTTGGGGCGATAATTCAATGATTCCTTGGAATCTATACTATCCCCAGGTAGACTAGCCTGGGACATCAGCAAGCCAGCTTTTGCATTTACATCAAGGGGTTGTGTACTGTTCAAAATGCTTCCTGGTGATGCTACCATTCCATTGCTTCCTGATAAAAAGAAAACAGAACAACTTACTTATCCAACAACTACTACTGTGTTTTGCAGATAAAAAAATACTGTATTTGGCATACATGTATGACAAACACACAAAATTTGAGGGGATACTACAACCGTCTAAATTAGCACAATAAGATGAAATCCACGAAATCACACAGATAATATCTATATCAAAAGCACATTATGAGTTCCAATGCAGCAGAAAGCAGTATTTATCTTCATGAAACTACCCTTATTTTTTCAGCTAAAAGCAATGCCTCAAATAACAATGTTGCATGAACTTAGTTGCAGACTAATGCATTCCTTATTTCAGTAAAAAATGCAGCAATTAGGTGCGAACCAATTACCACAACCAGGAAAAATAGTTTATGGCTTGACATGAATCACTCGTTAAAACTTTACAGTGCTTTACTATATTGATCGATAACTGATGATCATTATATCAGATTCTGGTGCAACCAAACATTGACATATTGGTGAAATTAAAAAAGTGAGGAAAATTGACTAAAATATACCAAAATGCTCAAGTATAATCAATTAAGCACCATAAAAGGAAATAATATTACTTTTAGAATTTCAGTGATTGCTCACATTATAACCAATTGCTAGTTTACATTGGTAGTCACTTGTCCATGTGCACCCAAACATTAACAAGATGTAAAAAACAGAAGGGAAAGAAACATTGGGTAAAAAGCCCTAAAATGGAAATGTATTACCACATTTCAGAATTGAGATCCGAGCTATCCTATAAAGAATACAGAAATACACAGATAAAGAAAAGTTATCCTAAAATCAAACAAAAGCGACAAATCAATTCTGAATAGTTCATTAAATGTCAAAATAATAAATATTCTTTACGTAGAAATCTTGGGTTATTAATGAGGGTATTGGAGGTCAAACCAGTACTACAATATCTAGAACTGCTTTTGAACAAATAAAGGATTGATCGGTCCTCACCTTGTGGGTAATGATCATTAATGGATATCGGTTTCCGTAATCCAACATTCCTCTGCCCAAAAAACAAGTTTAGAAAACCAACGATTCATAAAGGCAATAGCATTGAAGGTCAGAGAGAAGATAAATAACATTTTTAAAAAGTGGGATATCACAGATCTGATGATCATTAAATTGTTGGGGTCACATTTTAACAGTTCACAAGAAACTAAAATGACGATAAATACCTCAGAACGAAAGGAAACGTCTTCAAAAAAGTGGGATGAAGCAGAAACGCCCCTGCGATCCATGATTTGAAAAGGCATCCTGCTGCAGCCTGAGTCCCGAGAAACTGAAAAAGGAGCAGTATTGTTGAAAAAGTATCCGCTTGCTAGTTTCCTTGAACTATACTCATCCTTATACATTCAAAATAAATTGTAAGGTCATTTGCTTGATTAGTGAGCGTGAAGAAAACAGCGAACATGGCACTCTAATCAAAACAACTGATGCTGAACCCCCCCACCCAAAAACAAAAACAAAAACTTGTTGTAAAAATCGGAAGATTTAAGTAATCTTAAGTTATTGATTATTATAAAAAATAAGTGGGGGATAGAACCAGCTAATTAAACTATGCCAAGGAGATCAATGAAAAAACAGTTGTATCTTCAACTAAAGACCACCGGAAAGGGTATTTAGTGGGGGGAAAGAAGAAAACTCGTAGCTTACCTACCACATACCTAACACAATCGAACCATTTTGGCTGCTAAGAAAATGCAGGAAATTGAAACAAAAACATCCATAAAAATTATGAAAACTCCCATTCAACTGCGCATAAATAAAAACTGTCACTTTCCCTTTAGGAAACCAACCAAAACAAACGAAAAGAAAACCGCAATCAAGCTTAAGTTTTCAAGTTTCCACCTTCGTAAGGGAATTTTACAGGAAAAACCTTGAAGATGAACAGATCAAGTGCAAAAACTCAATTTTTCGATGGATGAATAGGTGATGATGAACTTAGACAGCTCATAACACCAAAGTAATAAACATCATGAGATAATTCCAAAATTGCTATTTAGAAAAAGAAAAATACACAGATTATAATATTCCAAGCAAGAAAGAAATCTTACCTCAATTCAAACACCAACTCTCCAGCACAAAAACAAACTCAAAATCCACCTCACGGAATCCAACTACCTTCTCATACGACACTTTTTAAAGGAGAGAGAAAAAGGGGAAAAAATGAATCTTGCAGGAGGTCTAAAACATGAAGAATTCAGAAACAGGGGATCTCGTGATTTTTTTTCAAAAATCTCATCTCCCCTCTCTGCATTGCTTTCCCTGCAATCTCACTCAGAATAAAGCGAAGAAAAAAAAAATATCTTTTGTTATTTCTGGTTGTTTCCAGAGACCCAAAACAGTGGCAGAAAAGGGAAACAGAATCAGAATTCAGAGCTCAAATCGAAAATTAATGTATTCCGGCCAACATAGGGCAACTTTCCGGCGAGATTAAGCTCGCCGGTGACGCTGTGTGGTTCAGAGAGAATCAGACAACCCAAGAAGAGAGTTTTAGAGACTTGTGACAGAAAAAAAAAAGGAAAAGAAGGAAAGAAAGAGGAAAAGTGTGTTAGTTGGCTTTAATTAAAATAAATCAAAGAAATTAAAAAAGAAAATATGTAAGAATCAATAATAAATACTAAATACGCGCTGGTCGTGTTCTGCGTGTATTTTTCGGTTTGAAAATAAAGTGAAAATTAAAGACCGCACATGACACAACTTTTGCTGAAAACAAATGTTACATATTAGACACTTATCCTATGTATTCTAATTTCTTTAACAGGTCCACGTATTCTTCTTTGTAATTTTTTTTATTCCATTCTTTTCTTCTTCCATAAACTTTATAAAATTACTTTCATTTTGTACCAAACCTCCCTTTTTCTTTCGTTTTCTCATTTTTCAAGCTTTGTATATAAACATATATCTCAACACTCTTCTATACATATAATTATTAACAATCATTTAGGTTTTGGAATCTCCATGTTTATTTCATACTATAAAAAATAACTTTATACTGCGAAAATTAAAAGTATTAGTGAATTTTTTTTTCAAAAATTAAAATTGTAATTGTAAGATGAAATTTTAAAACAAACTAAATTATTTTAATATTAAAAAAATTTAATATAAATAGTTTTGTTATAAATAATTTTTTTTAAAAATTTATTATCTCTTTATAATTTATTTTTTTAGAATTATTTAATTTTTTATAAAAGTTATTTCGTCTAATTTAATAATAGAGATCATAAGATTTATCTTCATGACGAGCTTTTTAAGTTGTACTTATCAGTTTCATGATTTATATAATTAAGTTTTAATCCTTTTTAGTGCTTTGTTATGTTATTTGTTGTATTGAATATTTTCTACTCACATGTGTTATTTTAGTCATCTATACGAGTCTCTGTTGATCATTGATCATAACGTATTTCTTGATCGTTTTGATGTTTTTATGTATAAATAAAACAACATCATGCAAGTTAATAGGAATTTAATTCGTTAGGATCTTGTGAGTTATTGGTAAGGTAAATGAAGTTAATTGCATATTTTTAAAGAGATTACTTTAAAACTTTTAATTGCATCATTGTATGGTGAATTGATTAGATGATTAATCTATGTGGTGAGTATGATCTCTTAAACTGTGGTTATGTTTTTATATTACATAATTCAATTGTAGGATGAAATTTAATGGAATGGAATTTGTGGTTTGAATGATTGATTCATGAATTTGTTGGTTTGGATTTGATTTTGTATGTTTAAGAGAGTTATAATTTGAGTAATTGATCAAGTGGTACGAGTTTTCATATTTAAAATTGTTTTAAACTAATTCACTGAGGAAAAAAATACTCATTTGGTTAATTGTATGGTGAATTGAACAACGCCAGGGTGACTTTAACGTCTTGTTTTGCAAATAGGATGGCGTAGAGCGATGCCAAAGTGATGTTGAGTACCCAGTTTTATGAATGGTTTAACCTTGAGCGATACCAAGGTGCCACGAGTGTCATCCTTGTATTAGAGGTTTGAAGCATTTTAACTCAAGGATGTTGAGCATCAAAAAGTCTCATTGAGCTCACATTTTTGTGGGAATAATAACGTTGAGCACCATGACTATTGTCAAGGGTCATACTGTTGCTAAGCGCCACCTTTTTTCTGAGAGGTACGGCGTTGAGCATCACTTGTGAGTGCCAAATTTTATGTTTGAGTTATCTTATTCTTTGACTATTTGGAATGAAATCACAATGGACTTGTTTAAGAGTAGCGTGATGTTTACTTATGTATGATTTTATGAATGTTAAAATAGTTGTTGATTTATGAACTTATTTTGAGAATGGTCAATACTAATCTAAGGAGGATTAGTTGTGGTTTTATTAGTATACATATTGATATGAGAGTTTAAATGTTGAAAATTATTTTGTCGCTCTAATAATCATTTGAGCTTAGGTATAGTAGTATGAGGTATGTGGTGAGAGGCATAATAATTCCTAGTCTTAGGACTTTACCTTGGTTAATGATGTTAATGGACTAACCTTGTATGTGGTAAGGTAAAGCGTATTAGCAATGAGTTTGCAAAGCAATATAGGCCACAACAAGTGCAAAACCTCCCAAGATTTCACATCAATGCTTGTATCCGGATAATTAAGTTTAAAATGAGTCTTTATATATGATATGATTGTTTTTATGAACGAGTGGTGTATAATAATGTCTCTGTAATTGTTTTTATCAAAACTCTTTTGTATTAACTTATCTTGTTGTTTGTTTTTGTATTTCTTGGGTGTCCGTTTATTTCTTTTGAGATAATCACTTTATTGTTAAAGTATATCTCAGAGAGAATATTTTTCTTTATCGTCTAATAATTTATTTTAATTATTTTAAATATATTTTATTATTATAGTTATTTAGTTTTGATAATTATATTAATATATTTGTTTATATTTTGAAACAAATTTATTTTATTTATTAATCTTATAATTACTTATTTTATCGCTTGTTAAAATTAAAATGTTACATAGAAGGAAAACAATTAATCTTCAAATTATAATTATTAACCTTTATATAAAAGATAAAGATGTATTAATTTTTTGAGAGGTTCTATGACTTTTTCTCAAAGTTTCTGACAAAAACATATTTACAAGTTTATATTAAAACTCTTTAATAAAAACTACAACAATAAAGTTCTTATTATTGTATTTACCTTAAGGCAGGACTTGTAAATTTTCAATAGTGTTTTCGATGACTCGTGCTTACCAATGCTTCATATTCATTACGAGAATTGCATTGTTTTCTGAAATTGGAGAATACGTTTTCCTATAAATAATATACAATTTAATCTTATATTATGGCTACAATTAACTTAGATATAGATATTTTAATAATTAAGAATAACATTTACATTTTTGGAACGCTCCCGCTGAATAGTTACACTAGCGAATAGTCATGTATCATAATAGTACTTTTACAGTGAGTATGATGTAACATTTGAAGCATCATTCCAAAATAATATATACATAAAGTTTAAGAAAAATATTCTATTGATTTTTGTGCATTTCTTTCATTATTTTCAAGTTTAATTAAGTTTATTTATTTTTTATAAATTTTAGTGTTTTTAGTTGAGTTTTTATTAAAAGGAAAAATTATTTATTAAGTATTAAAAGTTATATTTTTAATTGAGTTCTTATTATTTTATTATTATTATTTATTTATTTTACCTGGTGTCTTTACTTATTTATCTTAAGATATTAAAAAATGTAAGAATTTTGTTATTCAACATATTTTCCATTAAAGTAATATAATTTATTTATTATATTCATTAACTTAATACTTTTTTTATACTATCACAAAATTTCACATTTATTAACATTTATAGGCAAGTAGATAAGATGACAAGATAAATTAAATATATAATTAAAATTGTAATGCATAATATAATAACAATAATAATGATAATGGTGTGTGTGATTTTATATTAATGTAATATATATATATATATA